CCATTATCAGTCGATCATTATACACCATTCGATAGCCCTTTTCAAGAGCTACATGTCTGACGGTTCAAATTTGAAAAAGCTCATTTTCGACTTTTTGGCCAAATGTCCGCTTGAATGCCCACTGTGACGCGTTAGGTAAAGCGTACTGTTTGCTTTACATAATGCTTAAAACGCGTTGTTTCTGCACGCGAACAACAAACGCACTTAGACGTGTCAACAAAATTTTATAACATTTTAGACATATTACAATACATTGAAAATACACTAAATTCTCACAACGCGGGTTTGGAGTTAACTAACGTTACCTTTTTTTTGCGTTACCTTTCGATGCGTTCCAGTGGTGTTATTTTAATCCATAAACACACTTTTAATCTCGGAAGATAATGTTAAAAAGCCTTAGTTGATCCCAAAGCGTGTTATGAGCATTTAGGGTATAGTTTTCATGTATTATAACACGTCTAAAATTTTAAGTTATCTTTTGCAGTGCAGCTTTATTGCTACACAAGCAATAATCTGGAATGGAAGAATGAAGAATGGGAATTATTTATAGAAATTCGACCTCGAATTTCCGAGTTTCTTGTAAATTTGATTTTCTATAATCTAGAAAACCCTTAGGGAATTTATATATGGACTTTTTGAAAATCGCCGAGCATTTTCTATAAATAATTCCTGACATTACAGTGTAGTAACAGGTGGTGGTAGCTCCATATCCAGTTGCGAACTGTACGAAGTTCTTATAGTTCTCTATAGTTATCTCGAAGCAGTTATAGTTTAGAATAAAACACACGACTATATTCAGTCGTCTTTCTCATTTCACATGTATATATAGTCGTGTTTTTTATTCTATGACTACTGATGATTACAGATCGTAAGCAAAAGCTTCGGTTTTTTCAAATAGAACATCAACGATTGTTGTGTACATACGATTGCTATTATCTTTCTAAATTCTATTATGACAAACAATATTATTACTTAACAAGAGCTTCTCGCTTGTATTTTGCACAAGTTATAGTTGAACAGTAAGCGAGTTTGCCTTATCGTAGGTGTGACCATCGTCAGCAATGCACAGATCAATAAATTTTCGGAATGTGATCGGATATGTAAATGAGTATGTTTCAGTAGTAACATGTACACTACTCATTGCAACAGGAGAATGTACAGCAAAAAATATATATTGACCTATTCTTTTGTTTCTATGTTACTCAGAAAATCATATTTTTTTTCTGCATACATAACATCAAAAAGAGATAAAATGCACATAGAGTTTATAGACATGAGAGAGTAGAATATAGATTCGGGTTCCTATTACCATGCTTCGTCAAGCATAGGTATAGCTGAGTTTCCTGCGGAATAAATGACAGAGTCTCAGCAAAGAATGCACGGTTTAAACCATTAGCATTAGGCAGGAGTGTCTTAGAGGGTCTCACATCAGATAAACTGAGTCCCTAACCAATGCAATGTCCTTAGTGTAAGTCGTCGTAGTTATTTCCAGAAAGTGTGGTTTTGCAGCATGTCCGGCTTCCCGTTCTGAAGCACCAAATTACCGTGAAAAAGAAAGCTCCATGCACAAAGACGATCAACGACGCAGAGTGACCTGAAATCGGCTCAGAAAACGACTTTAGTACATAATTTAAGGGCGACACGCCCGGACGCGATGACTTAATTAGTCACAGTTTGTTTTGAATTCTTCTAATATATATAGCCATCGGGTCACTTGTATTCGTCCTTTCAAACTGTCATTTTTATTTTCTTCACACAAACATTTACCGTTAATGGCAGCAAGTATACTTGAATGCAAAATAGCTGATGCATAGCAAATAATAGTGCAAAAAATTCATTATATACTATGGCTCATTCATGAATCAAACTAGTTAAATAGATGAAACTTACTTTTTTCACCTATCATACATGGGAGACATTCCACAATTTGCATTCGATCCAACAACTCCGGTAAAACAAGAAAACTTTTTCCAACGAATAATCTCCTCGTTTAAACGAGCACCAGCAAACGATGAAGGAGCACAGGAGAAACCCACCGATGCAGCTATCACTACTGTATCGAATGATGAAAGTAGCTTAAAACGTACATTAACAGCTCGTCATTTGCAAATGATTGCCATTGGTGGTTCGATCGGTACAGGTCTATTTGTTGGTAGTGGTTCTTCGTTTTCGACCGGTGGTCCGGCATCAGTTCTCATTGGATTTCTCATGGTCTCAGTCATGCTTTATACAGTTGTACATGCTCTCGGAGAACTAACAGTTATGTATCCTGTACAAGGTTCATTTACTGTATATTCTACACGTTTTTTGGATCCAGCATGGGGTTTTGCAATGGGATGGAATTATGCATTGAGCTGGCTTATTGTTTTACCAATTGAATTATCCGCAGCTGCGATTGTAGTTGACTATTGGAAGAACAGTGTACCTGTAGGAGTCTGGATCACTATCTTTTTCGTTCTCATTATTAGTATTAATTTATTTGGCGTTAGAGGCTATGCTGAAGCCGAATTTCTTTTTGCATCAATAAAAGTTCTAGCCATCGTCGGATTTATTATTCTAGCCATTGTCATTGATGTTGGCGGCACACCTACTCATCATTATTTCGGTGCCGAGACCTGGCATAATCCTGGTGCATTTAACAATGGGTTTCATGGTCTATGTACAGTCTTTGTTAGTGCTGCATTTTCATTCAGCGGTACGGAACTCGTCGGCTTGGCTGCGGCTGAAACGGCAAATCCTCGAAAAACACTGCCACATGCTACGAAACAAGTTTTTTGGCGCATGTCTATGTTTTACATCATAAGTCTTTTACTGATCGGTTTTATCGTTCCATATAACAATGCTCGTCTATTGAATGCCGGCGGTGGTAACGCAGCATCAGCCAGCCCATTTGTTATAGCAATTGATTTAGGCGGCGTTAAAGTTTTGCCTGATATTTTTAATGTTGTCATTTTAACAGCAATTTTATCCGCTGGCAATGCATCAACCTACGCATCGTCACGAACGATTGCAGCATTAGCTGGTGTTGGACAAGCACCAAAAATATGTGGATATATTGATAGGAAAGGGCGACCGATGGTGTCATTACTGGTTGCCATCATCTTTGGATTTATTGCCTACAGTAATTTAGCGAGTAGTGGACCAACCGTTCTCAATTGGCTATTGGCTATTTCTGGTCTATCATCATTTTTCACATGGGGTAGTATATGCGCATGTCATATGAGAAGATTTAGATAGTCAGTCCTGTCCGAAAGGAGAATGTAACGGTAAGGCCATTTATGGCAATATTTGCAAAAAGCTAATACATTCCAACTCAGTATCGAATTCTAAACAAAATTGAACGTTTGATTTTTTTATCGTTACATTCAAATACAACCCAGAATTTAACGCAGATTACCAATACATGATACATTTTGTATGCAAATAATTGTGTAAAGAAAAAAGCTTTTGACATGAAATATATTTGTGACCTATCCTGGGTTCTGGTCATCGGGCTGCTCGAGAAACAGATATGAAACATCGAAACAGGTTAGATTCATGCCAGAAAACGTTTTCTCAAACCAATGCATGCAAAATAAGATGTTTAAAGTATAGCTTTGCCATAGCTTGCACAATATAAGTTTGCTGCGAACTGAAATATAGTAGTCTTATTATCAGTTCGCAGCGAATTATATTCTATATATATATATATATATATATATACCAAACATATATGTATACAACTTATGTATAAGATATATATTTCTTCTAGGTTTGCAGTCGTGTAGGTATGTAGGGTATCTTAGGTATTTAGATATTCATGCATTTTTCTCCATAGACACATGTACAAGGTTAATCGTATGCGGGACGGGAAAGGGGAGTGAGAGTGTTGGAAAAGTAGTTGCACGACGCGCTGATAAGCGAGTTAGATTATTGAAAAATGAACTGAAACAAAAAATGTAGTAGCCAAGTAGATTGCCAGATAGCACCGAACGATTTATTCTGCAGGGTTTTCAAACAAGGAGAGAACCTGAATTGGATTGGAAGATAGGCAAGGCGGCAAAAGCAGCTGTTTCACTAGTTTTGGGATATCAAGTTGTGTTCTGTCTCGAATATATACCCATTTCTATGGCAAATACTACGACGTTAGATCAGAACGAGTGCAGAGGTTCCTTTAAAATCCTCAGAAGTACATGAGTAGATTGGTGTAGCTTGGAGGAGACTGATCTGCAGGAAGGCTGGAGCGAGCCGCAATGCTTGTCTGCGGGTGGATTTGATGGATCTGCCCAATGATTGTCTGGGAAACACCGCATAAGGCTTTGTTGTTGTAATTACAGATAATAATACTTTATGCATCCAAAAACCACAAAATTTCTTGGGTTACTTCGCAAAATTTTTGTTTCTGCAAAAAAACACATAAAAAATTGCTGTATGTGATGTTACGTGATACATGGAAATTTTACTACAGATTTTTGCAAAATAACGGACGAGAATCTCGGCAACTTTTTCCATTAACTGTCTCTCGAAATTTCGACATGAGTGCCCTAGATACCTGATGCCCCTGTATATGTCATACATACATGTCTAATCATGTAGATTGTATATATGTCCGTGGAAAGCTCTCTATGAAAAACAAATGACAGAAAAATGAGTTTGCAGCAAAATGGAATTGTGCGTGACCTTAGATTTGCTTTAGTTTATGGCAAAAGACTGAAAAATTATCGAAAAACACGAAGTTTTGGTCCCTTGGAAGTGCTTCTACACCATAATTAGGACTTCATCTCATAAATGAGATATACAGATCGATTCTAGCTTTTACGCTCCTTCCAAATATGAACATAAAAATTAAAAACAGTTGTGGAACATGATTAAAAGTATAAAATATGCCGAATGCTCTCAAAATTCGCCATTGGTACACGCCATACACGGTCTTAGATACCAGAACAATCATGAATAAACACAAAACTGTCAGCACGAAAATCCAGTCGAATGGTATAGCGCTCGTCAGTAGTTGCTTAAAACTGAGAAAAAGCTTTTTTGTCAGTTTTTCCCGGGAATATGCCCGCGCGAATTTACAAGGACAAAAATTATAATGCAAAATTGTCATAAAAATATCAAAAAATTGTGTTTTTCGGTAATATTACAGTTTTTGGCTAAAGACTGCTGCAGAACTTAACATTAAATGCTGGATTTCACATACATAAAATAGAGGAAATGCTTTTTTGTAGATGACTCCATGTGTTCCTCTGTTTCAAGATTCGTTTCTGAGTCAGCTAATCGCCAGTTTGAAGACAGGCTTAAGAAACCTCATGTAAAAATATTCTTTTTTTTAAACTTTTACGAAGATCTTCAGGACGATTTCAACGTGACGTTCATAATCAGCATCACATTTTGCATAGAATGATGTGATTTTCAGGAAAACTTTTCGATCTTCTAAGGTATGACCATTGTCAAAAAGATTTCGACAAGAATGGAAATCGTTGTATTGAAAAGGTGAACGAACCATTTTGTGATTGAATCACTGTAACAGCCGATACAATCCTATAGAGCATTGCATTTGAAAACATACGGGGTTTTCTGATGATTCAGTAGTTTGTGTTTGACTCCCTATAACATTTGAGGTCTACTCATTCATGTGCATGCCGTGACCACCCTGCTTGGTAAATAAAGTTGTTCTTTCTGAACAGCCGTTATCCGTTTTCGTCAGGGTTGGAAATATCATGGTCATATGTTAGATGAAATACCGTTTCGTTCTGGTGCCGGTGTTATCGGTTCATGGATCGGTTTAATTCTAAACATTCTTTGTTTAATTGCCCAGTTTTATGTTGCTATTTGGCCCGTTGGTGATAATGTCAAACCAAGTGCAAAGGCCTTTTTTAATGCGTATTTAGCTGTACCTGTTGTCATTCTATTTTATGCGGTTTATAAAATTATCTACTGGAAAACAACTTCAATTATTACAAATGGAAAAATGGATGTGTTATCAGGACGACGACAAAGTGATTTAGATGAAATTGAAAAGGAAAAGAATGAAGAGATGCCCCATAAAGGATTTTTTAAACGAATTTACGAATTTTGGTGTTAGACTTATGTTTCAATTGAACCAACATCGACGAGAATGTGCAGTTATAAATATCTGTTTTTTTAGTTTCACTATTAAAAAGAAGCTTGTGAGATTTTGCGATGAAAAATATTGAGCACAATAATGGCATTTTTAATCATTTGATTTCTCTATCAAAAAAGGGCCATAGAAACTCGAGGGAATAGGTAATCGACTATGAGGAATGCGAAAATGAGTAAAAGGGACCTCTAGCACGCATTCTATTGATCAGAAACCTACTTTTGACTAGATGAAAATGAAAGAGAATAGATTATCGACTCCGAGGAATCCGAAATGAGCGATCTATAGAACGTATTCTATTGATTAGAAACGGCCTTTCGGATTCCGGGATCTCATAAACACACAATTCAAGGAGAGACAAGTACTACTTGTTCGCTTATCGTGAAGGTTTCGGTCAAACACTTGTTTCGTACAACGGGTGGAGCAAGGGTGGATAATGAGAGTGAGTCATGGAAGCTCGGAACCCTAGGCCCGTAACGAAGTCTCGTAACAAACACGTTCTTGTGTCGACGTGCGATTACTGCACTCGTGACTTTCATTACTATTTTCGGATCCCGCATTGTGAAATGTCTATTCTCTTTCATTTTCATCTAGTCAAAAGTAGGTTTCTGACCAATAGAGTGCGTGCTAGAGGTCCCTTTTACTCATTTTCGCATTTCTCATAATCGATTACCTATTTTCTAGGATTTTCATAAATTTATTAGTAGATGTACTATAACGTCAGGACAAAGACCATCCTTGCCTACTTCTAATGTAAACTGATATCAACGAACTAAAAATCAAATATAAACTAAGTTGTTATAAAGCAGTTATTTACGGTCACGGTTAACCGTTTGACCGGTTACTTGCGGTTACGGTTAACCGTTCGAACGGTTATTTACGGTTACGGTTAACGGTTAATAACCGTAACCGTAACCGTTGCATGCCTAATCAGAAACTATATATGAGTGAGTTGCATTGGCGTTGTACCGTTTCGAAAAAAACAATTTGCGGATAAAAAAATTCTGAATCATACATTAGATAGTACTGCCTTCCAGGTTTATGGAAAAAGAAATTCCCAGCACTTGGTCGTATATTGACTGAGAAATTTGATTTTTTCCAAGAGCTATACAGTCCCAGGATGGTGTCAGTAAATGGACTTAGAAGAATGGACTCGGATGTTTTTTGAATAACATTTGATAGAAAGTAGCTAGAGAACTTCGACCTTCGCCATGCGAAAGAAGAGACTTGCAGACACCTTTTCACAAGCATAAACTTTTCCGAAAGTGCTTTCTGAAACAGGTTTTCTAGGAGATCTTTGAAAAACCAGGCCGTGTATAAACAATTTTCAATAGGATTGCATTGATTTTCTTCCATGCTGTGATAGGTCAAGGTATCCTCTTCAAAATGAGAGTCAAGCGAGACCTTGATTTTCCGGGGCTAGGTCATTGTGTCGAATTTCCCGTAAGTCCCAAGACCGGTGATTATTCCTAGTCTTAAGAACGGATAGACTATAGGTAATCGATCATGCTGAGTCTTGTAGCAATTTTGTTTTTGGAAACAGTTCTAAAAGTCTACTGAAAAGTGAGTTTTACAAAAGTTGGGTTTTCAGGCTGTTTTCACCATCTATTAAAAAATTCACCGTTCATTCAATAAACATCAGAACTAGTTCAGATCTTATGGATACGGTTAATTTTCTCCGCTGAACATGATTATAAGATGGAAAAAATCGAAAAAGCATTTTTGTGTTAATGGGTTTTCCAGAAACCCTTCTGGAAAATCTTAGAGTTTCGTAAAATTTCTTTTGATATTTCCTATAAATAGCATATAGAATAGCTTAAATATTCTACATTCTGAAGTCTTGAACTAGTTCTGATGTTTATTGAGTGAATAGTGAATTTTTTAATAGAAGTTAAAAACAGCCTAAAAACCCAACTTTTTGTAAAACTCGCTTTTCGGTAGACTTTTTGGAATTTTTTTTAAAAACAAATATTAACATAAGACTCAGCATGATCTATTACCTATAGTCCATTCGTTCTCAAGGCTACCAATAGTCACCGGATGCCGGTCAACGGATATGCTTCCAAAAGAATTTAAATTCTGTCACATAGATAGCCCTGACATCAGGGAATCTATTGACGTATTATGAGCGTCAGTTATACTCAGTTTTTATCAAGTTATAGACAGAATAAATCTCGCAGGATATTTTTGCTGTGAACTGCGTTTTTCTCAGGAACGACGTGTTTCTGAAGGCTCGTTTTATTATCACATACTAATTGTCCAAGACGGAATAAAGAGTAAAATTTTAACCTTAGATGGGTCACTCATCACTGAGTTATAGACAAAACAATTTTTTAAATCTTGCCGGACATTTTGTGTGAAAACAACATTGTATAGCATATTCAAACACGGTTTTTATTGAGATATAAGATTTAGAAAAAAACCTTTTTTAGCAAAATGTAGAGCTACTCTTGCTCTATTTTTCTGCCTATTTGAAAACTTTTTTAAATCATTTGTGTCGTACGGAGACCGTCTTGAAGTCTCACAGGACAAAATTTTGAAAAGTGTCTATAACAGCAGTTTTTCCTCGAGCTTTTATAAAAAACTTAATTTTACTTGAAATTAAAGTACATAATATGAAAGCCCTATTTTCGGGCTGCAAATTCCATTAAAGTATGATTTAGTAATCTTTAAATAGGTTGGAAGAAAATCTTCATTTCTTTCGAGAGGCGGCGCCAAAATCACTTTGTTCTAGCCTTGTGTTTCACTTTTGTTTCACTTGGTTCATATCTCGACAACCAAATGAGATAGAATTTTTTGTTTTTTGAGTGCGGAATAACCATCTTTAAACAAACAAGTCACAAAGAAAAATATTAACTTTTGTTCCGTAGAACGACATTTTGTGAGCAAAACAATCGGTGTAATCGTGCAAAAACACAGAAGTCATCAATCAGCACAAAGATTTGTACTCACCATCGGTATTCGTTGGGTGTGAAACAGAAAGCTTATTAGAAGTGCATGTACCCTAATGGTCAGGAAGATGCTTACAAAAAGTAGAATGGTGAAAAATTGTATATATGAAAATATATATACAATGAAAACAAAACAAAAAATAAAAAATAAACGAAACTCGAAAGAACGGCGTATTCAGACTATGTGTATACCTAGAGACAGTTGAAACTATCCTTTAGTTATATGTATTATCATTACATTATTTGTAAAACATTATGCAATGCTATTACTACATGCTCTACCGTATTTTGTATGTAAAATGTCTTATATTCAATCGAGACGGGTGCAATTATGTCTGCTGCTTCTATTATAACTTGTATATAGTCTAATACAAACTTTGAAAATCATCCTTTAACGCACCATCGGCCCGAATGATTATTATATCAGTTAATAGTTCAACAAGTTCTACAAATGGGCGCCACTAAAAATTTTAAAAGCGATTTATCAATCGGTTGCCTTCCATCGTTAGCAGCCCTTTTTACACCTCTTTCTATCACAAAAAGAATTGGATCAAAATTGAATTTAAAAGCAATAGAAAGACCATTAAAAAAAGGAGTAAGTTTTTTTTCGGACCAACGTATATTTGATTATCCAATGAACAAATTCTAATGATTTTTGAATAAAAAAAAGATTTTTCCACCTTTAGCATCAAATTAAATATCTTAAGTGCTGAAAAATAATTATAATGCGTTCTAGAACTATAAACCAATTGGACAAATTAAAAATGTAATATTACTCGGATAAAGTGAATATTCATTAAACTTTCTGATAGTAGCCGAAATGCAAAATCTTTCTCAAAAAAGTCCAAAAAGTCACGTGTTTGGCTAACACAGAAAAAAGTGCCAACTGTATTATGCTGATACTGACAAGATGTTGTTTCTTTGGGTCAAGCATAACGTCACCGGACGTTTGAGCGACCGACACTTGAGCGAACTTCACTTAGATATCATGTTGATCGCTCAAGTATCGGCGCTCAAATGTCGGTCGCTCAAACGTCCGTTAATCCATCGCTTTTTCATAGACCGTTCGATAGAGAATTGAATGGTGATTCCGAATATCACATCCCGGTCACTCAAAACCCTTTCCTCGCCGAGATATTCGCGAAATACTCGAAAGGAGTCTAAAAAACACGGTTTTCGACAAATGCCCATAACCTTCTGCGTTTCACTTTTACAACTCGAGGCCGACCTTTTAGAATCAGAATTGAAAACTGATTCTGGAAATGTGTCTCTCAAAGCACTAAAACCAAAACTGGATTTTTCCGAAAGACCGAAACTTGTTCGAATTAGAGACGTCAAGCAAAACTTGCAAAGTTTTCACAGGGTCTCCAGGAGGTGCTAAATTTTCTCCGCTGAACATGATTATAAGATGGAAAAAATCGAAAAAGCATTTTTGTGTTAATGGGTTTTCCAGAAACCCTTCTGGAAAATCTTAGAGTTTCGTAAAATTTCTTTTGATATTTCCTAT